CCTAAACCCTAAACCACGAGGGTTTAGGGTTTAGGGTTTGTGTTTCATGGTCGAAACCCGAAGCCCCGAACCCCACACCCCACAGCGGGAACCCTAATCGATAGCCTGCATTTTGCCGTTGTCTGTTTCTGTCGCTACTACTTATTGATTGATTGTGTATTGGTGTCAACTCTTGTTCATCTGCTCATGTCCGGCACATGATATGTCGCAAATCTTGAAGCTCAAAACCCCGAAACACAGGGCCCGATCCTGATTCGTTTCGGCATGGGATGAGGTCTTTTACTTGCGGCGCTCCAGTTGTTTGGATTCAGCGTTGAAGGGTGTAAGGCTGGACAGTGCATGCGGCACCTTGAGAGCCTTTTACTAGCTAGATTTTGTTATTGTGCCTGCAGACCCGGTCCATATCGTTGACAGGCGCAATGCTTGCCCCAGGCCTTTTCCGCCAAGCTCTTGCTATCTTACCCAGTGTAGGGAAGCACAAATCCCCTGTTAATTTTGGTTGCCAGCAGCGATGTACCTTATGAGTACTATTTTCGAAGGAAGGAACTTCATCGCTGTAATGACATGTTTTGGCCTCGGGGATTTGCCCAGCGCACAGCCGCTGTGCATGTAGCAGCTATGCATGTAAGACCAGCAAGTTCGATTCCGAAAAGAGGGGGCGCAATCAGATCAAACGCGCATATTGTGAGCACATCACTTGCGAGACTTACACAGGTATTACGCAGCTTTAATGACATCGAGTTTGAGGTGTCTCTAGCAAGCCTCATGCACTCGGGTGAAGCTGAGTTCCTATTGATTTCTGCCGCAATTTCCTGACCGATATCTGGATGACGGGTTGGCTAAACTTGACCCCCTGATTCAAACCTGTGGAATGCCCCCAGTCCTCAAACATGTTCCGTTGACCAAACCTATATGCACAGGAAGGTCTCCTGCAAGATGACGCGTGTATAGCCCACGTGTGAGGGTGTAGGGTTTGCGAAGAAATGCATGAAGCTTCTGGCCATCTTGCCACAAAGGATGTCTTGTTTTTTCCCTCCCACTTGTCTTGTTTCAAGCCTTGGGTTTGCACGCTGTGCCCGCAGCATTTGGCTGGCGCGCTGCGCAAACAACCGAGCGGAGGTTGACCTGAGGCATCTAGAGTCGAAGGATGATGTCTTCCTGAAGTTTCGAACGAGTGCACTACTTCGCACGGGATTGTAGGGTCTCACGCACTGCACCAGCAGCGAGGGAGGTCTGGGGATATCCGAATTCCAATTGAATTCTCGGGTTTGCACGCTGCACCCCTTCGCGGGAGGGTAAAGCTATGCGTAGGAGGTTCACCTGATGTATCTTGAGGCTGACCGCAGGCATGACTAAGTTCGTTTAACGCCAGCAAAGCAAGTCCACGTAACCACTCAACATACAAATGGACATCAACCAACCGAGCCGCTGAGCTACACATTACCATCAACATGGAAAGTCGAACCTCCAGCAACCAACAACTTGCACAGTGCCAGTAGAACATCCGAAATATCGGACCTGCCGCCTTCTTTCCAGATCCCACACCCAGCAGGCATCCCATCCAAACTCCGCAAAACTATCCTTCCCGTAACAAATCCTTCCACACTCCCAACCTACCCAACCCTAAGCCCGAACTCCTTTTGTTGATGCAGGACTCTACAGCTATGCCTCCCTCATGTCAGGACGGAAGGCTGATGAAGAAAGCAGTCACAGGTGGATTCGGGCTCCTGAACCCCTTGATCTGACAATGCTCTTAAACCCACAAACTTTTCACGCTTATTTGGCTTTATGTAAACCCGAAGCGTAACATTGCAAACCTCACGCCCAGACATACCTGAGACCTTGGGCCGTATACCTTTGTAAAGCAAGCCCTGGTTGCACAGGCACGCCTCTTTGTTAAGCTCAGTGCTCACTTCCTTCGCGTCGAAGTATGCATCACGCCACGAAGCGGCATCCCGACTTCTGCAACAAGGGTAACAAGTCGCCTGTGCCGGGGAACGTTCATGACACGTCAAATTCTCCGGACTTCTGAACGGATTGCATCTACTGTTCAGAAGTCCAGATTCGCTAAGGTGACAGTCAGCTATGGACGTTATGCGCACGTCAAAGAGGGACAAGCAGTGAACATCCGAAACCCATCCCTCTGCCTGGTTGCCACAGTATGGGCATGAAGCTCAGGAGGACCCCAGCATTTATTCAAGGCACTTCCTCATCACACTTCCCAAAATCCTGTGACCACCTCGCTTTTTGACGTGATCGGCACAGCCCCGTGATGCACATGGTGCGCCTCGGCCTTGTAGGTTAGAGATCTCCTGACATCCGCCAATGAGCATTCCATTCACGAACGCCTTGCAGCCGGATCCATGAGTTAAATGCAGATTGGGCAATGTCAGCTTCACGCACACAGAAGAAAAATCGAAAGAACTACATGGTTATAGGTTTCTGGCAGTTGCAAACTGAATGCGTCGTGCAATGCTTTTACATGCTTCTCTTACTTCAGTGGTAACCCGCAAAATTAAAATTGGCGGCATGGTGCGAACAAGTAGTAGCAGTATCAATCCCAGCAAGACATCAATGAGTTGATGACGTGACGAGTCATTCACAGCATATGGTTGTACGCCTATCGAATCATGTCAGTGGTTGCGCGCGAGCGGACAAGGTGATTCAAACTCTGTGAGAACCTGTCTCAGCAGGGTGAACATCAGCTGTCCTGAGAGTGAATGCAGGGAGGTAGCGCAAGTGACGCTAGCGAGTGAGCGTAGCTTTGAGACCCTCTTCAGAGCTCGAGTCATTTTTCTGTGAGCAGCAAGAAAACGCGCTGAAAGGAGTGTCTTGCGAGTTGACAGCATTGAACCGCTGCAAAGCGAGCAAGTGGTCTACAGCTCTGTGAAATTCTTTGAGCTTGCGAGTTAGAAGATCAGCAAGTCCGGAATCAGCATTATCAGGGGAGTGGCCCAGCACAGCAAAGGCGTGACTGAGTGGACTACTGAAGAATAACTTCGGGGGAGTAAGAGATAGAATGAGGACCTGCTTTGAGTCTGTAGCGGCAGGAGCAAAAAAACAGTGAGGAAGGAAGGAAGGGATTGCGAGCAAAGCTGCCCGAAAATCCATACCCCCGCCTCCCCTTGCGCTGCACTGTTGCTCAGACCGGAGACTCACTGTTTATCACGCTTGACCATGTGGCCCGGCCGATTGCCTGCGGAACCGTTGAGGAGCCATACCGCATGCGCAAGACCTGGCACAGGCTCATTCTCGCCCCGATGGAGTTGCTCCCGGAAGTCCGCTGGGCTGAAAGGCCACTGGCTCGAAAATGCCTGAAGGCTACGGACGAGCAGTCAAAACTGTCAAGTAGCAGACTTCCACTTAAGTGCGCTGCCTCGTTCAAGCTTCTGGGACGTGGTCTGTAAAGTCAGCAAAAGACTTCCCAGATGTTCTAGGGCCACCAGGGGGCTTCAACCCCCAAGACCAATCAATCAATGCGGCTGGAAAGCAATCTCAAAAAGTCACGCTGCTGACCCCGCATGTCTGAACCCTACTCGGCAGGGCTAAGTCTCACATGTTATCACCATGAAGCAGTACACCCACGAATCTCAGCGATAGGAAGCTTCTGTGCTGGGTGCCTGCTGAATAGGCCCATGTCGGGGCTGGCCCATCTGGTCCTTGGAAACGACTGGCGCAAAGCATCAGCAGTGAATCGCTACTAACTCCGTCCAAATCACAATTCATGAACAGACCGTCTGAGGCACCGTGCCAGTTCAATGACATGCATAGCCGGCTTCGGACGAAGGTTGTTCAAGATCTCTTTAGCCTTCCGTGGAGACACTGGTAACTGGGCTTTCATATGCTCAGCACATCCAGTGCAGTTACACATGGCGAATACCCGGTGAGGTCAACTCATGTCCTCGCACATAGTGTGTGTGATGGTTTTCTCTCGCAGGGACAAAGAAGTTGACGGCTCTAGAGCAGCGAGTCCGAAGAACAGGCATGTTGACTACCACCATCTCTCCCAGATGCAAGGAAAGGTGTCCAAATACAAACCCGACAACCGCACAGATCACAACACAAGCGGTGCGGTCAGAAAGAGGCAATTTGTGCCCATTGGGCTCGTTCGTGGCAGCCATTTCAAATCTCTGACTCGCGGAGGTTGAGGTAAAGTACCAGGCTCCAGAACGGGGCGATAGCATGCCAGCATGCAAATGGCAGTGACCGGCCCCAGAACCAGACTCCAGCAGCACCCGTACACGGCCTGGTTCATCGTCGTGCTTGGGATGGCCCTAGGCTTGCAGCTGACTGGATACTCCGTGCTGAATGGGCCAAAAGATCGACGAACCTACGGCCAACACGAAGGATCTCATGGCAACACCACGGAAAAAGGCCGCAACACCTTCTGTCTGCAGTGTGGAACTTGCAACGTGCAGGATGGATCTGGAGGAGCTGTCCGCCTTTATTCGCGTGTTGATGACGTCCAGTGGACAGGTGAGAATGCCACAGGCAATGCCTGAAGCGACTCCACAGAAAGCAGCTCCTGATGGACTCATGGCCTCACTTTTTGGAAGCCCATGCCAAGCTCTCCATTGTGAGACGAACATTTCATAAAAGCCAATTTTGACACCGGCGAAGGGGAGGTCCTTGATCAAGTTGACATGCCAACCAACGAAAAACCCTCTCCAGCCTTGTACTGACAAAATGTGCGAAATAGCTTTGCCAGCGTTGGCATCGATGCCCAAGACCAGCCGCTTCTTGAGGACATCCGCTGGAACCCCGACGAGTGTTGCTGGAACTGCACAGATGGCCGAGGCACAAGGAATGAGGACCTCCCAATCGTAATCTTGGAGCTTGACTTTCATCGGAGCAAAGCAGAAGAAGAAAGATCCAAACACAGGAACGGATCCTAAGGCGATAGTCGGCACCATGCCTCGGAAGAGAATTTTCCAGTTGCTTGCACCTGCAATCTCCAGAGCCTGAGCGCGAACTTTGGCCGAGTCGACGGCGTACAACACCGACTCTGCCAGCACTGCGGCACATGCGCCCCCCGCAGCCTCAGCCATGGCTGTCTGCAGTAGCCGCCCCATGGCCTTAGGGAGCCATCCGGCTGTCTCCGGCTACCTGCAAATTAAATTCGCAAGAAGCGCAGCGCCTCAGTATTCGTAGATTCGTACAGATATGTAGTGAGCCTGTGTCTGCAACTTATGGGCAAGCTTGAGCGGTGTCGGGCAGGGTCTAAGGGCAGCTAGTATTCACGGGCAGTTCTGGCTGTCCGACTGAGCTGTGGCAACCCCTTCTTGTGCCGTTGTCCGGGGCATGTTGCTGGTGCTTAGCGGTGTTGGGGACACAACTTTCAATCACGGCCGGTCCTGTTTCACGAAGGGGCAGTAAGTCTTGCTGAACAGCACCAAGATGTCCTGCACAACGGCGACCCTCTTCAAGAACAACCGCTGGTCCAAGACACGAACAAATTTAGCTCCGCCAAACAGCTCTCTGTTCCATCAGCTGCATCCTTCCGCTGCAGTTGGTTCGTCACGAAAGCCTCAGGCAGAAAAGTCAGGCATCCGCTGGAAGGCCAAGGGCATTGGAACGACAAAAGCCGCAATGCTACAGTTCGTTCCGAACCTCTCCTGAGGCACTGCTGTAAGGTTGGACTGAAACGTTCGACCCCATACCAGTTTCGGCGCCGGGATGGCCGTTCAAGTCACTGTGCGACTGGCACACTCCGACTCCCAGGAACGTTAATCGTTCCAAGTGGCATGATCGCCAGGGCCGGCCGTCACGGTCTCAGCCTCAGAGATATGGCATGGTATCATAACCGATACGATTCTCAGATACGACATGATACGACTGTCGTACACTGCATTTCGGCAGCCAGCCTGCTGATTCGTTCGATTTGAGCATGATTTCGATACCAGGGTGACCAATGCGATGTCTTTACGGTCTTAAGACGTTTATGGGCATGAATCCGGAGACGACTTCGGGTATGACTTACGTGCGATTTTGGATGCAATTTGGAAATTGTTTAAGACTCATTGCTGTGCCCGAGCACCCCAAAGAACCCATGCATGTTGGGGCCCTTTTGTTTCTCAGAACCGGCCAGGACGATGGGGTCTACCGCTCCATGTGTCGTTCCCCCCCTTTGACAACATAATGTAGGGCCACAGCCTGCCCAGCCCGACACCGGCGCTGCGAAGTGAGGAAACCCGGAGATGTGGGCATCGGGGACTCGGGTGTGCACACGGCGTATCCCAGGTCGTATCGTTTCGTGTATCTGAGAGGAGGCGAATCAAGATCGTATCGTCATATGCGGCTGCAAAAGTCTTCAGAAAGACGGGAACGAGCAGCCACCCCAGGCTAGTTGCATGTCTGTGCACAGTCGAAGTACAGCATAGAGCTTACGCTTGATCTGCTTGCATCTGTTTGACAGCGATTCCGTTCGGGCATCGGTCATAACTCGCGAACCAACAAAGCACCGGGATATCACACCACAAGTTCAGCCAATTTCAGGCACCTCGTCGGTGGCCAGTTCTGGGTCCCTCACGGCCTGCTGGGCCTCCGCTGTCGCAGAGATCGTGATGACCTTCGCCTCCCGTGCAGTGGATGCGGTGCTTCAAGGGTCAAGTCTTCCGAGAAGGCGTTCAGCCGAACAGCAGGTGGCTGTTGCTATCGAGCAGTCGGGGCCGACGAAGAACATCCAATTCTGAATTCACCAAGAGGCGGCAGGCGGAGCGGAAACTGCAATGCTCGGCGCTTGCACCTCCACTTTGAGAAAACAGTCTGCTGCCTTACAGTTCACGCTTATGTTGTGATCTCCTTAGCTAGTTAGCATGCGTCTTCAATCTCTGCAGGGTGAAAAGTGAACACTTGGAGCGGAGCTACCCGGTTCCGGTGCGCCGGGCCATCCGTAAACTGTCAAACTGACTGTGAAAGCTCGAGACCATGGTCAGGCGCCATATCGTGAAACCGAAGCTGATATCCCTAAACCACAGCCCTCCAAATGCAGAATCGCCAGAGCTCCATCTGCCGAGAAGCTGGGCCGGGAGCGTATACGGCGTAGCCACAGCTTGACATGCTGTGCGACCCTTGAACCGGCACCGCAGCCTGGGAATGAATCCGAAGCCGAAGCTTCGACTTTATCTCTTGCATTGCGACGATGTATGGACTAAAACTGCACGGAGCCGACTCCAAAGCTGGCTCAGTGTGGCACCGTAGCAGGACTCGCAGCGCTAATGCGAATCCTAGGTCGGGATGGTGTGAGCCGATCTTGCATGATCTTGCAATCAACTTGGCGCAACCAAGCAAAGGAAAACCCTACAACACCAGCTTCAAGCAAAATCTAGCCTTAGCGTTGCTTCTCTCTGGAACTTCGGCCTGAGGCTTCTGGCATTGGCCTACGCTCCAATTCAACAAGAGGCGGCATTGGCCGGGCTGTCGCTGCCCCAGCAACCAGCGACCCAACGTGCTGCGTGGTATACCTGATCCGGACAAGCCTGTGGTGTCGTTCTCTAGACTGCCCTTACCTGCCAAAGCACGAAACACCGTCCGACGGGATTCCAGGTAGACATGCGTCTTCAAGATCTGACATGCTTATGGAACTGGTGACTGGTCGAATATCTTCTTCCCTCAGGCCAATGAATCAACAGGGTCGCGAAGAAGAAGGGTAAGCTCTCGCACTCGCAGTCTGGATGCTGTGCCACACTGGGCGGACGCGCTCCAGTGGCTGGTATCATCGCGCAGAGGAAAATCAGACGGATCAAGATTGCAAAAACAACTCTTCAACTTCTGTCCTCTTTGTATGGCTCCGTGCCGAACTGCGATCACCCAGCCATCCACGAGGACATACCCATTTCGTGGACGGGCAATACGAGTCATAGTCATGGCAACTACTTAGCAACTTGAAGCCGAGTGTGTGCTTGTGGCTGCACGAGGTTCTTCGTGGAAGGTGCCAAGTAGTGGCATGTCGATATCCGACAAGACATCAGCCTGGGAGCCGGCGATATGCGCGATTATATGGACATTGGAAGTGGAGGCGAACTCATACAGCGGCTTTGAGCTAAACTGTGCATCGGAGGTAATGTGCTGGTAGTAGCATGGCTTGCCAGCTTGACTGCATTGGGTGGATCAGCAGTTGAGGACGTTGCGCCACCATCTCCTATTCATGCTTCCTGCTTGCACAGCTCTCGACGAGTTGCGGGGCCTACTCCCACTTGCACAGCAATGTGCAGTGTGCAACATGTCATGGTTGCATCGCTTCCACTACTTTTCTTGCCGTGGCGGAGCAGCATGACCTGGGCCGGACGTGCCACCAAATGCAACGCAGCAGCTTGTGTATCGTGGAAAGCTCCTGCAGTACAAATCTCTTCTAGGCAGTGTCGTGGCGCCCTTATGGAAGAAACCTGACTAAATACAATTTCGACCACTCGTGCAGTTCTCAACCAAATTGTGTTGCGACCGGTTATGCAGCAAGCCAGGACACCCGACAATGGGCAAGCTCAGCCCCAGCATCTGCAGCAAATGAGGCTAGGGCTTCTGAAAGCTGCCACTGCTTGAAGCAACTCCTCCCAGAAACCGAACGCTTTGGCAGATCTGCGAGGAATTTTTCAATCCGGAGAGTGCAACAGATGGACAATCTTGTCCCAAGAACCTGCAAGACTTTTGAATCAGGCCGGTCCCAATGGACTGGACAAACTGAGCGAGGGTGCCATTGGTGTCGAACACATGTGGCTCTTGCGCCAGCCGGATTTGAAAAGCAGCGGCAGAATTCACGCAAACACCCCTGCGAAACACCTTCCCAGAATCATGTTTCTTGAGCCTCTTTCGAAATATTCTTGCGTCCACTCATCCCGGGCCCATTGACAAATTCTAAACGCAAGCCTAGCCATGAGTGACGTCATGACGGCAGCCGCCGCCACAAGGTGGGATGCGCAGCTTTAGGGTTCATCGTCTCGCTTTGCAAAGCTCAACAGGAAAGCTGTCGATCTGTAGCTGTGAGCGAAGCCAATTTCTGAGGGTGTGTTCAAGTACTTGGTGTAAGGACAACGAAAAACTGGACACGTTTATCGGTTGCTCGAAGGATCACTATGGTTGTCAGCAGCAAGAAGAGTCATCGGCCTGCCGAAGCGTCTCACGTAAAGCAGCCTGCACCAAGGGCGTGACTCCGCACACATCCGGAGGCTCGGGTGACGGAGTTGAGCTTCGCAGACCGACTAAATATATGCGACTTGAAGCCTATTGCTCAACCCAGGGGTCCCAGATCCAAGTCCTTGCCCCGAAGTCGGATTTGAAAGGATATCGTGCGCTAGACTCATGCACCACATCGCTTGCTGACAGCCGTGCCCCGGCTCCACTACATAAGTACACGGTTGATGCCTGCAAATTTTGTTGCACCCCCACATGATCCCCCGATTCCGTGCTTGGCAACACAGCGGCCTCTGAAGGCAGCTGTGGGTAAGGCTCCTTCACCTGTGAGCTGCCAGCGGACGTTTGCCATGCAATTCAAGTCGGTCTTGTGTTACATAAACGCAAGCATGCGTAACAATCACCAAGTGTCCGACACCCTACCGGTCCAAGAGAAAGACTTAGCCCCAGCACTTTGGCGACCCACAATTCAATCATGCAGTCGGAACAGTTTGTGCAGCCCTGAGCTAAGCAGTGCAACTCGTGATCAAAGCCTTTCCTACTAAGCCGTGGTTCAAACTGCGGCTTCTGGTGCATGCGAAATCACTGTTCGACGATTTCCGAAATGCGTTCTGCAGATCTGCTTTGTGTTCGCGAGCCCAGGCCCTAATGTCGGGCTTCTGTCTGAAACCAATTCCCACCATGTCACAAGCTGGTTTCTGAGGCTTCTGGCCCCGAGACGATGGATCTCCCGCCGCAGCTCCATGAGCTCCAGTATTACTAGCCTCACAACCCGCTGAACGGTAAAGGCACGTTCGAGGTGGACACCCAGGTTTCATGGATTCAAGTTGGGTCTGCGCTTGTTTTTCTGAGCCCTCTGGACTCTGAACTTTACGTCGACGTCCTGGAGCCCTACGACATCTTCTGCACCCATCCGAGGTGGGATGATCTTGTAGGGCGGGGATCTAGGAAGCGCCGCGCAGCACATGTCGATGCTCGAATCTCACCGTGTCGCCGCTTTCGCGTGCCAAGGCAACTAAAAGGCCCAAAAGAACAAGTCTCGACGAAACCGGACAGTTTGGTGGCCCCAGGCACATGGATGCAGAAATATGCGTGCCTCTTCTGTTTCGAGCAGGCATGTCTATCAACCCAACAAACACAAGTCGACCCACTCCCATGGCACACAAGTCAGCGCATGTTTGCAGAAGTCATCGCAGAGACCGATTCCCATTGCATAGCTATTCAGGAGCCACGTTTCCAAAACGATTTCCGAAGTCACACCACGGTACCTTCAAGGTTGCCGCTTCCAAAAACCTTTCACAGAAGCCACAATCATCTTCAACCGATGGTTCCAGAGGTCGCTCAAGGCACAGCGTTTTTCTAGAGCCATGTTTCCAAAACGATTTCGGATTTCACACCACTGTACCTTCGAGATTGCCTCTTGCAAGGACCCTTAACACAAATCAAAGTCATGGTTACAGAGGCCGTTCCCTCAAAGCACGGTGGTATTCAAGAGCCAGGCTTTCAAAACGATTTCGGGTTCACACCACCGTACCTTGGAGATTGCCGCTTCCGAAGACGTTTAACACAAGCCAAAATCATCTTCGACCGATGGTTGCTCCGCAGGGCGCAAAATCGTTGTCATGATGCCGCCGTGCCCGTCCGAGGCTTGAACTTATCTCACATCAGTCGGGGAGAATACGCATCACCCGAGTGTGCACATTGCTTCATAGAATTGCACATCAGTGACCAAAGTTATCCAAAGTTCGAATCAGTACAAGCTAAACACTGCTGGTTGTACGAGCGCGTGTGCGGTTTCATAGCCCAATCGCCCCTTAGATAGCACGGCCCAACCCCATGACACAAGGTAGCCCAGAACCCCAAAGCCCCAGGCAGGCACACGAGGCCCAAAACGTTCCTCATGAATAAGCAAATCTCATTACCTCTTACTACATTTTGGGGTCCCATGGGGCTAGCTTCAAACTCTGAAAAACGCACGTTTTATGGAGGCTTCCTGCAAGGTGCAGCGAGATTTCAGACCCCGCGACGACGGGTCGGGCACAGTAGCGCCTTCTGACCCTCGGTAGGTATCATGTGCAACCATCAAATTCGTAACCGGTTTGGAGACTTTCAGCTAGGCACAGCCAGCACAACCACAGCAAAGCAAAAGCTATCTCTGTTTTGCAGTGCAGACAAACGTCAGTAGCCAGCATCAGTCAGCCATAACACTGCACACCTTCGAGTTTTGTTCCTGTCCAGTGCGCGCTTCCGGCTTCTTCGTTGGAACTTTCTTCGGGAGATAGGCCAAGGCACGTACCACTTACTGTGCTCAGCTTTCGATTCCCAACAAAGGTACGCATTTTGCTTCCAAGCTGGGACACTCACGCAAAAAGACACTCTGATCTTGAGCGCCGGAAGTTCAAATTTACGTCAATCTGAACGATACCCGGGTGCGATTTGAAGAAACATGCCCATCTCGGTCGATTTAATACGTCCGTTTTCACATAGTTGGGTCTGGTCGACGAAACCAATCCCGAAAGAGTAGCTGGCTTTGGCATAGCTAGCGGCGTGGATTGACCACGACTTGCTGATAACGTGAAAATCCGTTCCGCGAATTTCCCCGAAGGAACACGATGATTGGCACACATCTTCGGGCAGCGGGACCAGAAACAACTTCTATCCAGTGCTATGTTGTTACCCTAAACCTTTATCTGTAAACCATAGACCCTTGCCACCTATAGTCTCCCTATACCCTCAACACACAACCTAAACTGTGTACACAACAAAAGCAAACCACGGCCCTACAAATGGGTCTTCCTCACATACCCATTCGGAACCACTGCATCCTTCTGGGGCAGGCTTTACATGGCTCGCGTTGAATCCTGATTGCAAGCGAACCTTGGCGTTTGGATGCCTTTCGCGTCTTAAAGCCAACTTACGGAAGTATCACATATCTACGCACTGATTGCCAGCGTTCCTTTGTGTGTTGTGTTTCAAACACAGCTTACAGAACTGTATCCAACTGGAACCAACCATGTAAAACTTGCGGTTTCCGCAAGACACAAAACAATTCGACTATCTTCTGACTTGCGGCCCCATAAACCACATCGACCCATTAGTCTGCAAGTCGCACGAGCTCCATCTTCAGGTTTTGTCGTGGATGTTGGGGTTTCAAGCATTTTCCACTGCAATGTAAAGAACATTTTGGCACCGAGTCTCCAAGTAGATGCGGCTTTTTCTTGTCACGTGATTCAGAGCTCTGGGTCTCGAAAAGCACTCATCTCGAGTCGCTTTTCGGGTGTTGATTTTGGGGCTACAACGGAGGTTCGCGTATCGAGCACTGATCTTTGGAGCTACACCGACCAATCGCAAGCCGTCTTGTGGGCTCCACCTGCTCGCTTAAAGAAGCACCCGCTCGAGACACACATCGATGGCATCACAACACAGCAAAACCAGTCATTCCTTATCGATTAACCACCCGCTCGAAAGACAAATCGATGAGATCACAACACATCAAGATCTGTCATTCCAAATATGGACGCTCCATTCGGCAAGTACTCGCTCAGGAAACACATCCGTGGCATTACAACACAGCAAGTCAGTCATTCCCCATGTAGACGCTCGATTCCATAACCACCCGCTTGGAAAGCCACATAGTGGGATCACACATCAAACTAATGTAGACTCTCGATTCCCCAAGCACCCGCTAGAGACACACCAAGGGCATCACAAGACATCAAAACCAGCCACCCCCATGCAGGCCCGGTGTGCCGAGGTCGGGCTACTAGCACTTTGGAACTTCTTTGGAAATTGCATAAGATGAGCGCGGATATGCAAAACCCCAATGTGGGCACTGACGCAAGACCGGAACAAAAAGGGATCGTTCATGGATACCTGTGATTGTTTGAAGCGCGATTCTCGAATGTGGACTCTAATCTGTATGTATTTCAGCCAAGCCTAGGCGATGCGAGAGCGAAAGCGACCCGCGCGCCCCAATACCTCATACGTGGCACTGCAGAAACTCGACATGCGATGCGGTTTTGGTGACGGATCGACGCCTAGCCGCTAAGGCGAGTCACCCCATCAGGGCCAGAGAAAGCTCAACTTCTTCTTGGTGGTTCGTGGTCTTTCCTTCATGGCATACCCCTCACAAGCCACCTGACCTGAGAACAAAGCCCTGTGACATGGTATCACAGTTGTGCAGCGTGTTCGCAAGACACAGTGTGATTGGGACAATTGCCGTCTGGCGGCACGACTACAAGTACTTGCAACATCCCTTGCTCTCTTTTCAGCCTGCATCGGCACTGCAATATGTTGTGTTTGGCTTCGACTCTATTCCCTGGGCTGCGAGTTTAATGAAGCTCGTGATTGCAAGAACATTAGGGGAATTACCAAAACAGCGACAAAATCCTACAAGCAATTGCAGCAATCGAAACACCTGACTGAGCTTCATGCGGCCAATCCAAGCACTGCAAACACACGCAAGAGAAGTGAAGATTGTTCAACAAATGCCGATCGGCACGGCATCAGCCAGATGGTTTCCGAGTGCTTGGTTTTTTCAGTTTCCCGTTCTGTACATCTTGTCTGCCCCTCACTCTGGGCATGCAGGTGGCGCGCAGCTCGCTTGCAGGTTGTCAGGTCCAAAGGTGCTATGGACAGCTTCTCTGGTATTGGCACCGAGGCTGCTCTGGCAGTGTGTGTTTCTTCGAGGATTTGCCAGACTTGGCAGAAGCCCAGATGAAGTTGTTACAACATGTTCCAACCCCATAGACAGCGCCTGGTCCACGGATGTCCACGGCTTGGGTTTGCTGTAGCACTGGAACAGATTTGGCTTCATGGCATACCCCGAATGATTTTAGTGTATGCTTTCATCCACTCTTCTTGCCGACGGCGCGGCACACAGTGAAGCCGAAGGCGAACAGCCTTTGCTTCAGCCAGAAATATGTGGTGCCCTGCACTAGAATCACTAGAACCAACGCGCATTTGGTGCCGCTGCTGCAACTGGGAGACTGCCACCGAACTGCCACTTGATGCTTCCTCCAGCATGCAAGCAAGAATCAGCTGCAGGGTGTGCCGGTCAAGGTTCCCCAAACTAAACTCACAGTGAATTGAAATCCAAATGGCTCGTGAGAAGACATGCCTTTCTAGCAACATGCCGGAAGAGACTACAAGCATCAAAGTTCTTTTGATCGTCCGCAGATCCAAAAGCCCAGCGCACGTGCTTCTGAGTGCGTGTTCTGTGTGCGTTTGCGTAGTTGTCCTTGAGGTAGCACTGCAGGAAGCCGTCAGTCAATGCCGGCGACGCCTCCCAAAGCTGAACTTGACTTCAGGGCATTTATTGGATTCCACGCCATCGTGTTGTGGCGAGTTGTGGGTTCTTCCAGAGCAGAGAGTGTCGCTGTGAAAGCGGCGGGGGCTGACTGCATTCAATTTCCTCACAACGGACTCACCACGCAAAGCTTGCGTGAGAAAGTGCACCCTACAAAATCGATGAAAGTAATCGAAGGTTTTGTGGAAGCAGTCGCTCTTACCTGCGATTCCTCGAATCTGTTTCTGACCAAACGTCCACCATCTCTCAACACCCGACAGTCTGACAATCTGAACGCTGGCTGATGCAAGCCGTTAGTGCAATGGGAAGAGTGCAGCTATTGCAGAGCGATTGGATGTGCGAACTGAAGTTGCCTGCTCGAGCCTTTTGACACGTCGTTTCTTGCAATGATTGAGGCTTAGCCTCTGTGGCCAGTTGGGACCACAAGACTCAACTTCTTGAAGGATGCTGCTGCACGACGAACCTGCAAAAGTTTGCGGCCTGGAAACATGGTTTAAACCCGCTCCCCTCCCCGCCTCACCATAGCTTCGCAGACTCTTGTCCAAACGGAGCATCATCCACATCTGGGCCTGGGTTAATGTAAGCTTCGCCGACTACCCGACAATATCCATGACAGAGCCTCCTCATACTGCGTCATGGTGAGCATTCTACTTGTTGAATAGCTCCTGCAATCTCCGGGTGCTCGTATCGGTCGGGGTGTGCGCCTGCTTTCATGTGCCTGTGCGGCCTGACAGCAACGAGAGACCTTCGCATCGACGAGCAAGCTTGTGTCAAGTCTTGCCGATGCTGACAAAGGTGTTAGCGGCGATGCAAGACTCCTGATCTTGAACATCTCGACAGTCCCGAAAAGATCTGCAACGGACCCCTGTGCTTGTTTCATCTACGCATGTCACTACACGAACCGTTGTGCTTTGTCACGCCGGCTTGAACTCGATACCCTGAGCTGCGCATGTCAGGCGCTGGCTGCAAAGCGACCCGGCTTGGACAGTACCTCAAGGAAGCTGTCCGGAAGCAGCCAGGACAAACATCACTGCGTGTGATAGGCAAAGTGCAATGCCTGAAGCTGAAGACTGAAACCTCGGCCAGAAAAAGAATCTGGCCGCCTTTGCGCTCGGCTGACGACACAGTAACAAAGCATTCATTGAAGGAGCACTCTTCTTGCATCGACTGCAAAAGCACAGGCTGGAAGATATAGAGACAAATCCTTCCTCGCACGAACCGAGGAGCCCGCCGGCAGTGCTCCCCAAATGTGTAGCGCGGGCTGCGGGCCGTTGTAACTGACCAGCACCTCCGACCGAGAACATCGTCTCGCGAAGGGATAAACATGGAAAAACCGCCAAAGGCGGTGAGACGAGGATCGACGATGGTTAACGCTCAGCATTACGAGAGCTTCTGTCATCTTATGTCAGGCTGACAAACTGGCCTCACTGGCCAACAACGGCCCCTCCGCGCTGAGACAGCTGGCAGGCTGTGTCGCGATCAGCGAGCCTCCGAACGATGGTCTGACGAGCCACAGCATCCGCACACGCTGGCAGCAAGTCGTCAAAGGAAGTCAAACAGAACTTAAAACTTCACGTGCTCTGCAGGCAAAATCGTGAAGCAAATGGCCCGAAAGTCGAAGCAAATACGATCCACAAACCCAAGTGTCTTAGTCGTCAACTCTACACCTCAAGAGGCTAACTCGAGCCGCGCACCGTAGCAGCTCAAAGACAGGAACTGATTTGTGAAGTACTCGCCGAGGTCTGTGACGGTGCTCTCAGAGGACAGAAGCCGCCTCTGCTCCAATCCACATTCTGGTTTCAGCAGAAAACTGCGAAAACAAGAAAGAAAAACTGTCATCATACATAATAATAAATTTTTAGGACTGTCACATCTTCTCACTTGATATGTCTGTCACCAGGCTTGCGCCGCTGCTGGGCTGATACCTCATCCAGGCCACAAGCTGGCCTTGCATGTCAATATTCTCAATGGCAAGCCCGTCACCGACCCCAATTCCATCCGCACTAATCCGAACGTCCCCAGCAAAGATACCATGCCTCATGCACGCATGGCCTTTGTTTGGTTCCGAAAATACCCGCATCCAATAAGGATCCCTGTAAACCACCCTACAACAGCTAGGCCGGCAATCTAGGCTGTCGGCATCTCTCGGCATCTACGGCAAGATCTCCAAACCTCCCCGGGCATCTGGGAACCCCTCCATGCTTCGACCACGTCACCAACTGCCTTGCCGCAGGACAGGAGGGAATCTGTTTGGTATGACTTAAGCCGTGGCTTTGAGAGTTTAGCTCCTCGGCTGACTGATGCTCCAAAAACAAGACCTTTTCGGCCTTCAAACACAAAACGTGACAAGGGCTTCGCAGCAAGCGGCGAGCTACCCGTAGCATGTATTCAAAGGCAGATTTAAACTGTGGCCTCTTCTGGTGCTCATGAAGCCGAAGCCCTGGCCTCGTTGCACAGTGTCCGACACCGCGGCTTTGATCTGCGGCGGGGTTTTGAGAAGCACACCCTGTGGACTTCAAGCTTTAGCACCTTTGTAAGGCCGAGAGGTATATGCTCTCTGAGGCAGTGCCGGTCAACTTCGAATCGATTGGCTTGTGCAAGGTGCCTGCTCGGTGGAGATTCTTGAAGCCAGTCTGGCATCTCACGACCTCAACAAGCCTATCCGACTATCCATTGGAAGGTCATGGTCTTTTGGGGAGTGCTCATGCAGAATCGGACCAATCACCGGATTTGGGCCACTGCAAATCTATGGGAACATTCAGCAGCATGTTCGTAGTGCCATCACACCCCACGTTTTCCATCTCTGAATTGACCATTGGCTGCACAAGCTGGCTGGTGGAGCTCCGATTGTCGTTTAGGTAAGAAGTGAACCTCCAACCCTAAAACTTTCAGAGAAGATAGCAAACTATTCCCCGTGGCCAGGAGATCTCAAGCTCGTGTCCATCCAAAGCTGCGCACAGTAGAGTTGCTGCAAGCTTCTCGAGCAGCCGTGCAGCGCCTGCCACTGCAATGATCCCGCCTTCAGCCCTTGAACCAACTGCAGAAGGCTAACACGCTGGAAGAGCAACCGGACACGCCTATATACCACGCAATGCAGCAGTTCTCTCCCAGCCCCACACTGCCCTGCTACGGACCGAAGAAGTCCCGAAGTATGTTCCTTTTGACAGGTTTACCCACACGAGGCTACGACTCTCTTGATCCCCAGCATCCGTCGACAGCTCGATCAAGGCCCTGAATAGACAGTTAACTTGGATTGAGCATCGCTGTTCTGGCTGTTGCTGACTTAGTTCTGAAGCGAAGAAGTTCGAGAAGCAAACGCTAAGTGTCTTTTTCCGAAGTGTAGACATCAAAAACAAATGATTTCTGTTCGCCCAAAATGCGGCCTGTCACTGAGTGTTTCAACGCTTCTCATGCTCTCAGGTGTTTGTGATGTGAGTTGGCTGAGAGGTTTATGGCTACCAGTGGGCTACCAGTACAGATCGCTTGCCTGAAGGACGCAACGGATAGCTGTCAGTGGGATCTTGGCCAACACACGCTAGTGCGTGTGCCTGGTGCGCCTTTCAACAAAACTCTCTTCCGGCTCCTGCTCCGCCCGTTGCAGTGCGGCAGCGGCATCTGACCACTCCAAGGGCGCCTTGGCCGCGCCAGGCTTGGCCGCTTGCTGTTGGGCTCTTCTGGCTTTTCGGGATATGGCTATTTACGTGAAAATCGCAAACGCAGCTTGGAAGGCTTTCAAACTTGGTCCGTGTACGGATTGCACTGTGGCATGCTTGGTCGTGTTCAGACTAGTTTTCAGATGTTTACAGTGCGGTGGCGGAGGTAGCGGATTTCAATGCATCTGCCATCCAATATTTGGGGTAATTACATCGAGACGAGCTTCGGCTGAAAACAGGAGCCGAAAATGCAAAGCACCCCTTCAAATCCTGCAAGCTTTCGCTGGCTAACCTGCATGCCTGCGCAATGCTCAGCACGAGGCGGCTTCATTCTGGATAGCCAAGCGTGCAATGCTTGCGCCTGAACTTTGATGAAGGGTGTGAATACATTCGCGGGGTTTCGTCACGATCAGCAAATCAGCATGGGCAGTTTGTTGCAACGTACGGCGGCCTGTTCTTCGCGTTTCCGTGCTATATACACGACCCTGTCGCGTGGGATCCGACAGGATTCGTGCAAGTACGCCCTGTAAAATCTGTAAAACGCTCAGAGACTTAATTATCGATGAACCCACGGAACATTTCTTGGGGCCCCGGCCGAGCAACATGGCTTCCGTCTGCATGTGGCCACGTCGTGGCCTTAATAAGCCAAGGTCTTTCACTTCTCAGCTGCATGAGTCATCATGAGTATCCAAAGGCTTGTTGCTTGGCCTTGATGTACAGGCCCTTCATGACAAAACACGCTCACGCCCGGCTGAGTGCTGCGGCACTTCCAAGGTCTTCGTCAAGAACTCTTCTGCACCACGAGCCTTTCATGTGGAATTGTGCAAGTACAGCTCCAGGATGGTGAAGAAAATGGCTGGGCAGATCAAACGATCTTGCCCGGTCTGCGCTTTAACCAGGCTTGGCACTCATGGGGGGGGGAGTCTGTTGCAAAAGCCATCGAAAACCAAGCACACCAGGACCTGGAAGCAGAGGTCCACGGGGAGCGCCTCAGAACTCGCACGAGCCATAGTAGCGTCAGCGAGGACGGAAAGTGAGCGAGTGAGCCTGATGCCGTAACAGAAGCATCACTTTTTGGAAACCGTCTAAATCCCGGAAAGCAGACTTCTTGCTACAGGCCCTGAGGCAAAAATCCGTTTCCAAACCCCAGCTAAGGCCAAGCGCTCTCGTGGCAGGCACGGTAGCCTTCAGCTCGTTGGGGGTCGCGGTGTCGAAAATGAGGGTCGCAGAATCCTGCAGGAAGCATTCAAAACTCGAACAAATCTCCAAGCACACAGAGAAACATTTGGCAAACCACATATCATGAGGTCTCGGGCACTTCGGCCGAAGGACAAGCGCCTTCTTCATCGTTCTGGAACGCGTCCCTAGCTTGGATCACCTGCTGGCTTCCATGAATAGTAGGTTTCGCACCTACTCCCCGGCCTGACACCAAACAATACAATCCATCTTCGACCCTGTCGGGCGACCACCTCCTTGCAGCTGCCGACCAACTCGGCCAATACTTGCGAGGGCCTCGCGGTGACAGCACTCACCCCAGTTTGAGCTACAAGCCAGCGAGTTGTGCAGACGCCACATGGTTCATGGCAACACAATCGGAGTTTCAAATGGTATCCCCGGCAAACATCTAATCTATCCGCTGTGCAAGAACGTCGCCATTGCCACTTTTGATCCGAGCTCGTGGCTTTTCGGCTGTTTTTGGCGATGTCACAGCCTCGATCTTCGCATATCAGGCTGTGGGGTCTCAAACAGCATTGGAGGCAGAGCTGGGGCGTTCTCATGCAAACCGTGGCCTTGCCAACAATCCGCACGGAGGATTAGCCAATTGCACATCGTCAAAGCTCCGAGCACTTATATCAAAGGCGCCCGGCATCCGACTTGACCCCCAACAGCTCCGCAGCCAAGACTGCAGTCCTGCAAATGCCGCGGTTGAGCTGACTTGCAAATGGGTGCCATTTGTCATGTGGACAATGTGCTGGATTGATAAATGTTCGTTCTTCCTCCGAATTGTCGGTCGATCGACTAATCTAGGAGGGGGTCGGGGTATTTCACGTTGAGTAGTTAAACATCGTGTTGTCTACTTTCTGGGGATCGGGCGGTGCGACTGCGGGCAAATCCCCGCCGGGACCTCAAACAAGACACACCATTTGTACACATGTGACATGTGGCAAAAGTGGCAATGCACATAAGCTGCACATATTGTGTTATTCGATATCTTGGGGCCCGGCTCAATCGCCAACCTTTGCACACCTGCAGCCGTCTCTATCACTGACTGACGACTCACATAAAGACACAAGTCCCAAGAGTCTGCACTGAAACCTCTTGCAGACTCTTGCACGTATCTGGCCTTTCCGCCCGCAGCATCTTCAACAACAATGTCTCCTGATCAAGATCTGCTTCTGCAAAGCAAGTCAAGATGCAAACGGACAAAGGTACTTCGGAGATCTTTGAGTTGATGTGCGGTGACTTGCACGCAGTCAGGTCTGTCGGTCGACGTGTCCTACCCTCGAAGCCGACCAGCTGCAAAGACAAAACACTATGCGCAGCACTCGCTTGCCACACGCTACAACTCTTGGCAAACGAAGATGCGTCTGAAGGTGCACACACTGCGGGACCGCTGACAGAACCGCCAGCGCTCGGCCACTCATTCGAGCGCGGACAACAACGCGAACACACAACAACACGGAACACAGTTTCCAGTGGACATGAAGCACACACGACTACACGCGAGTAGCAATTTGCAAGTGCATGTACCAGTGTCGTGGGCTGCAACCGAGACCGAACTCACGCTCGAGCAAGACATGGAGGCTTCGATGGCCACACTTTGCTCTAGAAGCTGCAGGCAAGAAACGCTGTCGAATTGGCCAAGCAACAGCACAAGGCATTGAGGCACGGGAGAAGGCTCAACGGCACTCCAGACGGAACTTTCAAGTCCTAGCAGGTGCAGGAGAGGTGGGGATCAGTGCAAGATGAAACTCCAAACTCTAAACGCAACAAATGCAGCCGAAGGTAACAAGAAAAAATGCACAACTCTATCTTCAGCTTCCGTTTGATCACCTCAACGTACAACCATCATTCAACGGCTCGTCGTGGCCTTCCAGGCGAAGAGCCTTCAGCTCAGTATTGCATAGTTTCACCGGGCGGAGTCGCGGAGTCGTTTGGTAGACCTTGCCAGGGAGTATTCTGCTTGTCATGTGCGATGCAACGCACGAGGCCATGCAAGGGTTGACTGCCACAGGCTTCTAAACAAGCCAGTTGTCACGAACCTAGATGTGATCCATTTCTTTCTATTTCTATGCTGTGCGCTGGCCGGTCTCTGCCTCCTCTATGAGTCTTTTCAACGGTATTCCTCAAAGGAGAGTTAAGAAGGTCGGACGAAGGCTCGCCAGCCATGCAGGGGCGGTGAGGCAGGGAATGTTTCTGTCGTTTGGCACATTGGGCACCTGAAAACTTCCTTCCAACCTGTCTGTGCAGACTAACTAGAACCTTGTTGGAAACCTGCAGGAGAAAGGGGGGAACACCTTCTTGACCTGAACTCAACAAACATCCAAAGGCTGCCTGGCGGCACTGAGACAGAATTTCAGTGAATTTCTGAGCTCTCCCAAACATTCAGGAATTGATTTCCAAACGAGAATGTGCTCCAAAAAACGATTTCGATTTCGACCACACATTCTGACCGCGGAAAGAAGCTTTGGTGGGAAACGATCGATAAAAGGCCTTGAAGGCACGTTGCACAGCTTCCCACTAGCCCTTCTTCTGCAGAGCCAAGAAGAGCAAAGCAGGAACGCCGCTCCCCCGAGCGCGATCGCGCGCTGGCCTGTTCGTCTGTCTGAATGAGCCAGCAGCAAGCACCCGCCCTCCCGCACCCGAGTTTGTGCTGGTCTTTATTTAGCATGGCTTGGGATCCAATGAGACAGCACAACACGGCCGGCTTCTCTCACCCTTAGACCCCGACAGCCAGTGGTACATCCGATCTAGTCAACTTGTGCCACGTGCGGGCGCCTGTTGCAAAAGAAAACCGCAGTGGAGGCAAACACATGCTGATGCCGAGCACAGTTTGCTAAGCCGGGCTTCTCCTGACGTGAGTCCGCATGATATTGTCTCATTGTCTGAAGGTAGGCTTCGCTCCCCCAGATCAACATATGACCTACGACAAAAATTTCAAGGATTGCTACCACAGGTGATGTGTCGTCACGGTCATGCAACTTCGTGGGCCATTCTGCCATTGGCCATTGATATTAATTAATGCGATAAGACGGCAGCTCACCGTTGAGGCCGACGTCAAGTCCACCCGGTGCAATGAAACAGCAAAGGCTGCAAGGCATGATGATGTTTAACTGAGCTGGAAGCCCATGTGCACAAAACTTCCCCCTTTCGTCAGGTCTCAGTTCAGAAGGCTCCCGTTGCTTCGTCTTTCGGGCCACTCTTGTTCGGCGATTCGCGGGGCAAGCATCCCAGGCCCGTCTCGAGGAAGACCCCCGATCTATCTATCCCGATCTCCCCCCCCCCCCCGCCCCACTGTCTTCGCTGCTGTTTTAATTGGGGAGATCGTAGCCGTGCCGTACCCCCATCTTCACATATCTTCACCCTCCCCCTGGTCGGGGTGTTGATCCGTCTTCCGCTCCCGTGGCACATGTCTCGTCGTAGGTGTGCCCTTCATGCCCTTCGTCATACTGCAGAAGGGGCCGAGCACGCAGTGGGCAAAAAATCCCATCTTGCGAGGTTCGGGCAATTTTGCGGGGTCGACAGTCGAATTTACGCGAAAAGGTGCCTTTTGCCAAAGAGGCGGCGGGGGGTCAATCCAATTCGTGCATTCCTCTAGGCGGAGCATAGCCCTGTGCCGTATGGGGGAGATGGCGCAATCAACATCTGTTCTGCATTGTTGGGGTGTTCGGGGAGGCAGAAAACAGGTAGATGAAAGGGGGGGGGGGGTGAACCGCAGCACACAGCGTCCCAGGACTGGCGAAATGGGGGTTGATTTACCTGTCCCTTGCTCGGCCTAGATGCGCCTGTAAACACCGTGTTTTTGAGGCAGCAACAAGCAGGACATCGCGGTACGACCACGACGCTGTTGTACCTACCCAGCAGACTGACTAGGCAAAGCGGCTATGTCACAAGGAGCGATGAAAGTGGCTAAGTATGACAACGGCTATGAAGATGGTTGTTCAATCGCTCCCGCATCACATCATCAGCATGATTGCATCATTGGGCATTGTGTGGAGCCGCCAGAGCCTTCCCAAAAGATTCGCAATATCTGGGACACGAGCAAACCTGACCACTACCACCATACTGTGGATCCAGGCTTCGGTCGCATCATGTTAGCAGACGCCAATTTGCGGGGAGGGCAGGGAGGCAATGGTTTTGGAAAAGAGGTCGTCACCACCTCCCGGGGATTGAATTGTCAAGCTGAACAAGCAGTGTCGCAAAGAGAAAGCGAAACGTGCAGATCAGGAAACAGCGCTGTAAAGGGTTCTTCACCGAGCTTCCTGCTATTTCCCCATGTTTGACTGGCACGGAATGACAGGGACGGTATCGATACAAGTGGAAGAAGATTCACATGACATTGAGCTCCTTCTCCTTCTCGCTCCTGTTTAAATATTCCGTGCGGATGGATGTCGCCTGTCCATGCCAAAGAAGGAAAACGATTCTTGAAAGGGTGATGCAGCACATCAGCTGTAGCAAGTGCTGCCAATTTAGTCAGAGTCGTGGCCACCATTGACCAATTACCTCTCAATACTTGACCGAAGCGCGCCCGGAACGCATGCAATTGTGAGGTTGGAGAAGTTCAGCCCAATTTTCACTTCGCAGTTGCTCTGACTGGGGGTCATATCTGCATGCAGCAAGTCATTCTTTACGATGCTGAGCTGCAGAAGGGGGATGGAAGATTAGATCCCACGCTCGAAAGCTGCCTAACTCCACGACTCGTGATCGAGCCTCGGGGTGCCGATCCAAGCTTCTCCATGGCACCTCGGCGCCCACAGATTGTGCACATGCTGTCCTGGAGGTCTGACAAGCGAGTGTTCCGGCGAACTGCCATGGGAGTGCTGCAGTGCTGCCTGTCGCATGGTAATTCGGTAGTAAGTGCTTGCCAAGGGTGAGGAGATTGAGGAGCTGCAAGTTGGAGTTATCTAGGGGTCTAGGGATACTTGTCACTGGAAAAGTTCACTCCTAGCTCAGCCGCCTGATCCCGCTTGTCCGTTCATCTGCTATTGAAAGCAGACGAGGAACAGCATCGCGCACGGCGATGGCAACCCAAGGCCTGTCCTGCCAAATCGCAGAGTCTTCTCTCTTCTCTTTTTTGTGCGAGCGAGGCACAGCCGTTTGTCTACTCTGTCTGCTCTGCTCAGCTTCCATGTTTAAGCAGCTTGTTCTCACTTGCGATCGCCCTGGTCCTCTGGTGCCAGGTTTCGCGGAAACTGAAGCACAGAGTAGCCTGAAACTTACATGAACCAGTGCGGCGCTTGCATACTGCATCGGACAGAGAGAACATGGCTCATGCCAACCATGTTTGCAGGTCCTCATCATCCCCTGAAGCTGGACCATTAACATGGCCCAACGTCCTTTCATATTTCTGGGCCCGGGACGGAATGGCCCAGGACCCTGCCCGCGGCACGCAGAGGCAAAGAAGAGGAGCCGTAACCTGAAGGTTTCTTGTTGGGGGAATGCTGAAGGTTGGATTTTACGCGGGATGATCACGGAGCCGCGAACACTTCC